GTACTCCTCTTCCGTCTATGGTATTAAAAGATGTTTCAAGTTTAAAAGTTGGTCCTTTTATAGTCAAATTTCTTGTTTTATAATAGGAATTCAACATGGAGGATAGGTTGAAGCGTTCAGGATTATTCTTTATGAATGACAACGTAATTAGCAAAATATACAGGGAACAGTGAGAATGTTAAATTGTCGGAAAAGATTCCTACATGAGGACAAGGAACTGAGGGAAAAAATTATTCTCAATGCTCTTTCTGAAGTAGTAGTAGTTATGAAGTAGTGAAGGATTCCAACGATCAAAGGGATTCAATTCCTAGGATTATTTATCTCGATTTTCCCCGGCGTCAATTTCTGGAGTTGGCTCCTAGGATCATCTCATTGTCAGTTCTGTTGGAGTTGGTGTATGTTGAGATATCTGTTTTAGATTATTTCATTGACACAGAAATTAGTTGGAATTTACTTTTTATATACGCATTTTAAGTAGCTAGGGATAATGCGGAAACCATGATATTTAAAATAGATCATTAATTATAATATAACAACTATATTGTTGCTTGTTATCCATCAATCCTTGTCACCAGGTTGGCCATTCTATATAATTGTTCTAACAGTTTATTATGGCAAAGTTATACGATAAAACAAAATGGTAATAAAACAGTTCTTGGCTTAACTAAAGAGCATTGCTTTTTTATATTAAGAAATCTTTATCAACTGTTGTGCCCCATCCAGCGACGGAGCCAACAAAATGTAGGTTCTTCCTGCTGCTAAGTATCAAACTGATACCAAACTGTGAAAGCGAATCAGTAAAACAGATGAAGACTTTTGATGTTTACGTTTATTTCATGATTCTTGTACACTTTTCATATAACTTTAACACTGAACTTCCTTAATAATTCCTTTGATTACTTAATATTACTAACTCATATTGACTGAACTTTATTATAACTTGATTACGACTGAACTATATTGATCTTAACCCATACTGATCTTGACTCATACTGACTCTAACTGACTGTTTATTGCATCATCCAGAGACCTTAAATACTCCTTATCGGTATGACGCAATTCTTTTCTAGAATGTGTGTTTGAACTTGTTCGGATTCGTTATATGTGAGTCAGAAACTACGCTTTACTTGGTCGTAAGACGCAGTTTGTGGTTTCAAAAGGAATTTTATCAACGCTTGCAAAGTTACTGCAAGCTTACAATGTAGCTATGAGTAATATTAACTGCGTTGTTCATATTCTGGCCGTAATATAGTAATTTATAATATTATTAAATTATTACAAAGGGGGGGATACCACTACACAACTCAACATGTGACAATTACATGAACGAGAAGTATTTTTTCCAACGGATCTATGGGATTCAATTCCTAGGATTAGATATCTCGATTTTTCTTCGGCGTTAATTTCTGGAGTTGGCTCCTAGGATCATCCTCATTGTCAGTCAGTTGAGTTGGTGTCTGTTGAAGATGTCGGTCTGTCTGTTCGTTTATTTTATTTCCTTTCATTTCGGCTGTTGCTTTCGTCATTTTGTTCTTGTTTGTTGTTTTCTCGTGTGTTGGCGAGGCGCCTCGCAGGGTCGGCTATCAAACGGCCCGCGGCATCGCGTTAACGCCGGGCGGTCTAGCATGGCGCGCAGCGGGATTCCCGCGCCGTTCTAACATGCGAGGC